ACTTATAAATATACATATCGACTGCTGAGTGGAAGATCGACCTATCTCGGCAGCCAGTTCGAAAACGCCCTATCTCAAAAAACTTTTCACTAACACTCTATTTCAGAATTTTGTTGAAGAACGCCCTATTTCAGAATTCGATTCAAAAATGCCCTATCACACTTCAAAATGTATTGAAAATTTGCTGATATAGGGCGTTTTTGAAACGAATTCTGAAATAGGGCGTTCTTCAACCAAATTCTGAAATAGGGCGTTTTTGAAAAGTTTTTTGAGATAGGGCGTTTTCGAACTGGCTGCCGAGATAGNATTTGAAGGATATAACTTCGTCAAATTTAGAAATGTTATCTCCGCTAAATAGGGGCCGTGGAAAATTTCGCATACGCTACGCTATACCTATAAATATATATACGTTAGAGTCTAATGCATACTCTACACTATACATCTATACATATATAAGTCCGCCAGAATAAATTTTTTTAATCCCTTTTCAATAAAACTTGGCACGATTTTAAGGACATAACTCTCGTCAAGTCTAGAAATTTTATCTCCGATAAATAGGGGCCGTTGAACATTTCGCATACGCTACGCTATACCTATAAATATATATACGTTAGAGTCTAACGCATACTCTACGCAAAACATCTATATGTATATAAGTCCGAAAGAATAAATTTTTTAAATCCCTTTTCAATGAAACATAGACTGATTTGAAAGATATAGCTTCGTCCAATCCAGAAATTTTATCTCCGATAAATAGGGGCCGTGGAACATTTCGCATAAACTTCGCTATACCTATAAATATATATACGTTAGAGTCTAACGCATACTCTACGCTATACATCTATATGTATATAAGTCCGAAAGAATAAATTTTTTAAACCCCTTTCAATGAAACATAGACCGATTTGAAGGATATAACTTCGTCAAATCCAGAAATTTTATCTCCGACAAATAGGGGCCGCTATACCTATAAATAAATATACGTTAGAGTCTAACGCATACTCTACGCAATACATCTATATGTTGATAAGTCCGCCAGAATAAATTTTTTAAATCCCTTTTCAATGAAACATGGACCGATTTGAAGGATATAACTTCGTCAAATCTAGAAATGTTATCTCCGATAAATAGGGGCCGTGGAACGTTCCGCATACGCTACGCTATACCTATACATATATATACGTTAGAGTCTAACGCACACTCTACGCTATACATCTATATGTATATAAGTCCACCAGAATAAATTTTTTAAATCCCTTTTCAATGAAACATGGACCGATTTGAAGAATATAAGTTCGTCAAATCTAGAAATGTTATCTCCGATAAATAGGGGCCGTGGAACGTTCCGCATACGCTACGCTATACCTATACATATATATACGTTAGAGTCTAACGCATACTGTACGCTATACTCTATATGTATATAAGTCCGCCAGAATCCATTTTTTAAATCCCTTTTCAATGAAACATAGACTGATTTGAAAGATATAAGTTCGTCAAATCCAGAAATTTTATCTCCGATAAATAGGGGCCGTGGAACGTTCCGCATACGCTACGCTATACCTATACATATATATACGTTAGAGTCTAACGCATACTGTACGCTATACTCTATATGTATATAAGTCCGCCAGAATCCATTTTTTAAATCCCTTTTCAATGAAACATAGACTGATTTGAAAGATATAAGTTCGTCAAATCCAGAAATTTTATCTCCGATAAATAGGGGCCGTGGAACATTTCGCATAAACTTCGCTATACCTATAAATATATATACGTTAGAGTCTAACGCATACTCTACGCAAAACATCTATATGTATATAAGTCCGAAAGAATAAATTTTTTAAACCCCTTTCAATGAAACATAGACCGATTTGAAGGATATAACTTCGTCAAATCCAGAAATGTTATCTCCGATAAATAGGGGCCGTGGAACATTTCGCATACGCTTCGCTATACCTATAAATATATATACGTTAGAGTCTAACGCATACTCTACGCGTTACATCTATATGTATATAAGTCCGAAAGAATAAATTTTTTAAACCCCTTTCAATGAAACATAGACCGATTTGAAGGATATAACTTCGTCAAATCCAGAAATTTTATCTCCGACAAATAGGGGCCGCTATACCTATAAATAAATATACGTTAGAGTCTAACGCATACTCTACGCAATACATCTATATGTTGATAAGTCCGCCAGAATAAATTTTTTAAATCCCTTTTCAATGAAACATAGACTGATTTGAAAGATATAACTTCGTCAAATCCAGAAATTTTATCTCCGATAAATAGGGGCCGTGGAACATTTCGCATACGCTTCGCTATACCTATAAATATATATACGTTAGAGTCTAACGCATACTCTACGCTATACATCTATATGTATATAAGTCCGCCAGAATAAATTGTTTTAATCCCTTTTCAATAAAACATGGACCGATTTGAAGGATATAACTTCGTCAAATCTAGAAATGTTATCTCCGATAAATAGGTGCCGTGGAACATTTCGCATACGCTTCGCTATACCTATAAATATATATACGTTAGAGTCTAACGCATACTCTACGCTATACATCTATATGTATATAAGTCCGCCAGAATACATTTTTTAAATCCCTTTTCAATGAAACATAGACCGATTTGAAGGATATAACTTCGTCAAATCTAGAAATGTTATCTCCGATAAATAGGGGCCGTGGAACATTTCGCATACGCTACGCTATAGCTATAAATATATACACGTTAGAGTCTAACCCATACTCTACGCTATACATCTATATGTATATAAGTCCGCCATAATAAATTTTTTTAATCCCATTTCAATAAAGCATTTACCGAATTGAAGGATATAACTTCGTCAAATCCAGAAATGTTTTCTCCGATAAATAGGGGCCGTGGAACATTTCGCATACGCATCGCTAAACCTATAAATATAAATATATAAGTTAGAGTCTAACGCATACTCTACGCTATACATCTATAAGTATATAAGTCCGCCAGAATACATTTTTTAAATCCCTTTTCAATAAAACATAGACCGATTTGAAGGATATAACTTCGTCAAATCCAGAAATGTTATCTCCGATAAATAGGGGCCGTTGAACATTTCATATACGCTTTGCTATACCTATAAATATGTATACGTTAGACTCTAACGCATACTCTACGCTATACATCTACAATTATATAAGTCCGCCATAATAAACTTTTTTAATCCCTTTTCAATAAAACATGGACCGATTTGAAGGATATAACTTCGTGAAATCCAGAAATGTTTTCTCCGATAAATAGGAGCCGTGGAACATTTCGCATACGCATCGCTAAACCTATAAATATACATATATACGTTAGCCTAACGCATACTCTACGCTATACATCTATAAGTATATAAGTCCGCCAGAATAAATTTTTTAAATCCCTTTTCAATAAAGCATTGACCGATTTGAAGGATATAACTTCGTCAAATCCAGAAATGTTTTCTCCGATAAATAGGGGCCGTGGAACATTTCGCATACGCATCGCTAAACCTATAAATATAAATATATAAGTTAGAGTCTAACGCATACTCTACGCTATACATCTATAAGTATATAAGTCCGCCAGAATACATTTTTTAAATCCCTTTTCAATAAAACATAGACCGATTTGAAGGATATAACTTCGTCAAATCCAGAAATGTTATCTCCGATAAACAGGGGCCGTTGAACATTTCATATACGCTTTGCTATACCTATAAATATGTATACGTTAGACTCTAACGCATACTCTACGCTATACATCTACAATTATATAAGTCCGCCATAATAAACTTTTTTAATCCCTTTTCAATAAAACATGGACCGATTTGAAGGATATAACTTCGTCAAATCCAGAAATGTTTTCTGCGATAAATAGGAGCCGTGGAACATTTCGCATACGCATCGCTAAACCTATAAATATACATATATACGTTAGCCTAACGCATACTCTACGCTATACATCTATAAGTATATAAGTCCACCAGAATAAATTTTTTAAATCCCTTTTCAATAAAACATGGACCGATTTGAAGGATATAACTTCGTCAAATCCAGGAATGTTTTCTCCGATAAATAGGGGCCGCGGAACATATCGCATATGCATCGCTAAACCTATAAATATAAATATATAAGTTAGAGTCTAATGCTTACTCTACGCTATACATCTATAAGTATATAAGTCCGCCATAATAAACTTTTTTAATCCCTTTTCAATAAAACATGGACCGATTTGAAGGATATAACTTCGTCAAATCCAGAAATGTTTTCTCCGATAAATAGNATACGTTAGCCTAACGCATACTCTACGCTATACATCTATAAGTATATAAGTCCGCCAGAATAAATTTTTTAAATCCCTTTTCAATAAAACATAGACCGATTTGAAGGATATAACTTCGTCAAATCCAGAAATTTTATCTCCGATAAATAGGGGCCATGGAACATTTCGCATACGCATCGCTAAACCTGTAAATACACATACTATTTCTGCATCAAAAAGAAAATTTTGAAAAAAATGTCGCTTACGTTATTTTGGCGGTTAGGGCTCGATATATAAGTCCGCCAGAATAAATTTTTTTAATCCCTATTCAATAAAACTTGGAGCGATTTAAAGGACATAACTTCGTCAAGTCTAGAAATTGTATCTCCGATAGATCAACGGCCCCTGAACATTTCGCATACGCTACGCTATACCTATAAATATAAATACGTTAGAGTCTAACGCATACTCTACGCAATACATCTGTAGGGTTAAGGACTACTACATTATTCGTCTCGCTAAGATGGCAACTCCATAAACTTTGAAGAAATAATTTATTAAACATACATTTGCTTGTTGCATACATTTCCTGGTATATATTTTTTCCTAATTCATTCGTGCAACATCTTTGATTTGTAATTCGACATTTTCATTATATTAAATAAATTTAAGAATATAGAGAACGACCTCTATAACTGGTGACCCCGACGACGAATATGGTCAGCGAAGGAGAAGACAGATTTATGGATGCTGAAAACATGCTGCATTTGGGGCGCCTTGCTGTAAAACCGCCGCCGTTTTGGAAACCTGATCCACGTCTGTGGTTTGCTCAGGTCGAAGCGCAATTTGCGCGCGCTGGTATCACGACAGACGATACTAAGTATTACACTGTCGTCGCCGAAATCGATTCGGCGATCTTAATGCACGCCAGCGATATTATTGCATCTCCCCCAACTACAGGCAAGTACGAAGCGTTAAAGGAGAGACTACTAGCTGAGTTTGGTGAGTCGACAGAGAAAAGACTTAAGCGACTTTTTGAGTCATGCGAATTAAATGACAAGAAACCGACTACGTTACTACGGGAGATGAAAGATTTGGCACATAATCGATTGGATAAGAGTATACTGAAGTCAATTCGGTTGCGGCGTTTGCCTCTGCAGGTGCAACAAATCTTAACGACATTGGATGAGGATGTAGAAGTGTTGGCGAAAAGAGCCGACAGCATAATGGAGGTAACTACTACCAACGTAGTGAATGCGGTAAACGCGTCTAACAACAGCAACGTGGAGGTTGCCACCATTGCTGACCTTGAATACAGGCTGGACAGACTCGAGCAAAACAACTGTAATAAATTCCAACGCATGAGGCAAGTGGAGCGAAACAGCGCTCCTCGCTTACGGCCGACTACAACTGTAC